TCTTTTTAGTTTAATCAACATTTTAGCTGTGTATTTTTATGATTATGATGTTTTTCTCTTGAATAACTTTCAATTTTATCTATGAGTTTCAACTACTGATTTCATCAGAATGGTTAACTTATATTAATCTTTATTGGGTTATATCAAGTTTTTTGTATAACTAGTCCACAGTATACCACTTGTCATATTTTTTCTCTTAACATCTCTCTTAATGCAAGTCAGCTTATTGTAATATAAACTGCTTAGTATATCTCATAAGCCACTGAGAAATTACTATGCTAGTTTTTCTTATTTTTCTCTGTTATAGTTTTGCACAACAAAAGTACTGAGGCTTCAATTCAACAAATATTTTTCTTCTGCAGTATCTGACCTCCAGTTAATATCATCTACCAATGCCCAAATAAACTCAAATAATTTTTATTAATGCAACATTTATTTATAACTTTCTGTTTTATGTATATAAATTACCATTTAATGTATATATATATATATATATATTGAATGATGATGACTCCAGAAGTTCTCCAATACCAGTTTTCAATGTCATTACCAATTACCAATCTCCATACCATTTCATCGTTCCTCCAAGCCCCTTATCAATTTAACCCAACTTCTAACCTATTCTCTTTTGTTAACTTGTTAGATATTAACCCTAAGTTTTTTAAGCTTCATCAGTGAATCACCCCTTCATCCCCCCAGAAAAAAGTGCTCTTACAAGCACCCCTAATACCCTGAGTTTATCTTTAACCTTTCCTTTGTGTTTTATGCTTATTGTCAAAATTCCCCAAGTCACGGTTGGTTACTTATAAATCAAATTTTCTGATAACTCTGAACATTGTATTTGTAGTGAATTACTTGCCTCTATATTTCCCCTATAGCATTTTCATATTTTAATATGAGTAATCTTTTTTGCTTTAAACACAGAAGGATTGTTAATGCTATTCTCCTAATACTTGGGTATTGGTTGTCCCTGAAATATATATACTCCTGTACATCCGTCATAATTGACTCAGGCTTTGGTTGCTGTGGTTCCTAACACCCCAAAGGGGAGGTCCCATAGCAGGACCTGGATGGACCTGGGGCAAGTGGCAAAGCTCACTCAATGGCAAAGATAAACTCAGGAGATTAGGTGTGTTCTTAAGAGCACTGTAAGTTTTTCTGGGGGGAGGAATACAGGTGATTCACTTATGAAGTCTAAAACACTTAGAGTTAATATCTAACAAGCATTAAAATGAGACAGTCTAGAAAGCATAAAAGCTTGGTCTTGATGCAAGACTTTATGATTTAGAGATAGGATCCTCTTAAGGAAGGACAGGCTGAACTCACCTGAAAGCATGGTCTGGGATTTATGGTAAAAGACTTACTTGCCCTCAGAGCCCGTGGAACTATGTTTTGGAATCTATATTTCTTACTGTGTTTATCCAAATAACTGCAAGCATTAATAAGGAGTAAACTTAATTTTTTAATATTCAATAATATCTAGGGGAAGAGAAAGGCAATATAATGTTTGTCACTTCTGAGCAAATCTCTCCATACAGTCCCTGAGAGACAGAGCATCTTCTTTAGTTAATCCTCCAATGAGAATTGCCTCCAATGATAAGTTTTGCCTCAGTAGAGCTCTATGTGCAGTACCATACCTCGATCCTGTCAAATGTTCTAAGTATTCTAGCAGCCTGCTTCAATGGGCCATTTTCATCATCAGTATGTAGTGTCTTGGCTCTTTGCTCCTCTGCTAGGGAGGCCATTAGTAAATTATCTAGAAGATGTTTTTAAAAATCTTTTGAAATTTCTTAATGTTTTTCTTTCACTTATCATAAAAATATATTTTCTAGTAAATGTTTTGGTCTATTCAATATAGCTTTGCATCTTTACATTCTAAACTAGCAATATTTTTTTCTGTTTCATAGTGAATGTACTTTTGTTCTCTGTTACCATACGATTAATAATTATTTTTAGTTATTGTAGTATAATGACTTCATTAAATTGAGATTTTAGTTTAAGTAATATAAATCTTTTTATCTGCCTATAAATTTAGAACTTACTAGCTTATTTTGATAATTTTAAGGTAATATTTTTCCTTTTATAATATCTATTTTGAGATTGTATAGGATTTAAACATGCAGTCAGATTGGCCAGATTACATGTGGCACACCAGGGCATGATTCCAGTACTGCATATAAGGATATGTTCTTCTAAGCTAAGCTCACTTCTAAAAAGTGAGCACAGAGTCAGGAATAAGCCTTGAATACTACTGGTCATGATACAACACCCCATTTCTAAGTATTTTGTATTCTCAACAAATTTAGCCTCATCACTGAAGCATAGTTTTTTCTGAGGTCGCCATTGAAAACTTTCAGATTTGAAAGTTATTTTTCTGCACTAACTAGTGGATATTTAAATGATTTTCAGATCTAAGGAAGTTCAGAAAATGTAACTATGAAATTTTTTTCAATTTTTACCTTACATGAGTGATGATTCTTATTGATTACTATTGTCAAAGACTGAAGGAAAGAATAGAGTTTAACAGCTCCTTTAATGCTCTTAGAGGTCTTTCTATACTAGGTCTTCACATTTCCCCATGAGCAAACAATGGAGCAAATGTACAGCATGGTTCATTTTCTTCCCTTCATTTATCAAGTGTTTTATATTTAAATTCCTCTAATCCAAGATTCAAAATGTATATTTCATATTTTGCCTAATTTTCCAGTGATTAGGAATATAATTATTAAAAATTTTAGTGCTGCACCACTTGAAATAGAACTCTCCTTTATTCTCTTTTGATGATGATAATGTTTTTTTTATTATACAGAAAGATGTTATCTATGTTCTGCATAGGACAAAATGTCACATTAATTGTTCAAAACAAAATATTTTACTGATAAAATAGGATAAAACTTGCTACACACATAAACAAGGACACAATTTTATTTTATACAACAGTATTCTGCCAAAATCTTGCCTCAGAATTTTCATCAAAGATGACAGTTTTTCAAATTTTCCCTTGGAATTCAGAGCATGGACTTTTGCAAACAATTTGAAATAACCCATAAGAGATTTGAAACTTATCATTGAAGTTGCAAATTTATGGTTTTGCTTTACTGTGTAGAAAAAGCTTTCCTATGTCTACTACTAATTTAATATAATGTGCTTCTCTACCCTGGAAAGCACTAGAGGTAATGACCTGAATTATACTTTTGCAGTACTATATCTTAAAGAATAAGAGAATGCTCTAGGGGCTGTATACATAGGACACACTTCACTCATTGCTGAAATGATACTTCCTTTGAACTGAAATATCACAATGATTTCCAGTAGTTATGTAACATAATGGTTAAAAGGTTGTTGTGTAAAGAAATGTAGCATCAAATCTACAGATCTATGAAACTTATAAAATCACAAATCAACAAAAGAAGCATTGACTGTAATGAAACATATATGTAGAAATAATATACACATATAAAGTGTGTATGTGTGTATATATATATATATATATATATATATATATATATATCTTGCCTGCTAGAGAGGTTTATGCACGTCTCCTGCCCCCGTGTCTGGCTATCTTTATTGGAGCCCTTGGAGGGGGGAAGGTTGAATTTCCCTCCCTGCCCTGAGGGAAATTTTAGAGCCCCAGGAGCTGAAGACCTCCGGAACCAGCCACAGCCATCCTCAAGACCACTCTCCACATGCTTGGAGGAACCTCACGCATCAATGAACCGGCAGAGGAACCCAGGTGTGCAGGACTTGGGGCTGAAATCTCCAAGGCTGCTCAGATGGGGGCTGGGCCTCCTCCACTCAGATCCCCCATCTTCCAGGAGCTAGGCATTACACCCACCAACTATTGCAGCGCCGTGTAATCCTATCAACAGCCAAGACGCAGAGGCTATAAAATCAAGTTCCTGGAAGAGTGTGGCCTCTTATTGTCTAGTTCTTGCTCTTGGAGAACACAGCAGGCTACCGAGAGTATCCTGGCCGCACAGCAGTGTCTGGCAAGCTCCCCATGGTGTATTTGATATACAAAAACCCAGTAACAATGATGGGTCTCATTCCCCTGACCCTGAAAGAGCCTCCAATGTGGCCTCGAGCAGGCCCCAGTAACGTCTCTTTCATCCTAGCCCTGAGATTATATTCAAGGCTATTTAGGAGAATGAGACCCATCATTGTTACTGGTATTTGGCATATTTGGTACGCCACGGGGAGTTTGCCAGACTCTGCCCTGTGGGTAGACTACATTCGATAGCCTGCAAGTTTGTCCAAAGTAGGAATGAGACAATAAGATGTCATAAAAAAAGTTCTGATAAGATGTCTTGGCCGCTGATGGGATTACACGGTGCCAGGGGGCCAGGTGGTGGGTGTGACCCCCGCCTACTGGAATTTGGAGGATCTGGTTGGAAGATGCTCGACTCGAATTGGACTCCAATTCGAGTAGGCTTGGAGGTCTCGGCCCCGGAACCCGCGTGGCTTTGTCCCTCTGCCAGTACCTTCATGTGTGCGGAGAGTGGTCTCAGCATGGTGGTGGCTGGTCCTGGAGGTCTTCGGCTGCCGGAGCCCTGGTCGGAGCGGGGAGGAAAGCTCAACCCGCTCCCCTCAAAGGGGCTCCGGGAAGGAACACCCAGGCGCGGGGGCAGAAGACTGCACTGTTCTCGTCCGGGATCTGGATTTTATAGTCTCTGAGTCTTGGCCGCTGATGGGATTACACGGCGCCAGGGGGCCAGGTGGTGGGTGTGACCCCCGCCTGTGGCACTTGCTAAAATTTCAGGGCTAGGACAAATGGAGACATTACTGGTGCCTGCTTGAGGAAATCAATGAACAATGGGATGACAGTGACAGTGATGACAGTGCTAGAAGAGTTCATAGACATTCATGGTATAGAGATATTAGTAATATAAGTTAACATAATAATTCATTGGGCTATTATTAATTAATAGAGGGAATTCTTTCCTGAGAATAATTTAAATTATTAGAACATAGCCAATATCAGCATCAAGAAATAAAGGAGCATACTACGTGGCAGTGGGGATATGCTTCTCATAAAGATGATTTTTCCAGAGCAAGGCTTATTCATTGCACTCCACATATGCTGGTTCCTGTGATTTACCTGAATGTGGGAACTCAACTGCACAATATAAGGTAGTATGGGACTGTTTTCACACTATCCTCTAGGGTGGGGGATGAGGGAAAGAGAGAGAGAGAGAGAGAGAGAGAGAGAGAGAGAGAGAGAGAGAGAAAGAGAAATAGGGAGAGAGAGAAAAAAGAGATTAAGAGAGAGAAGAGATAGAAAAACAAGAGGAGATAAAACTACTATGGTCCAAAGTGCCACAGGGAAAATTGGAAATTCTCAAGTCAAATATGGCACTCTCAAACAATTTAAATATTACTATATTATAAATCATACTTAGAAATTCTATATTTTATTTTACCTTAAAGTTTTTGACCTAGGGTGATAACAAATATAGAAAATTCATTTGGTTTGTCTTGATATTAATAGGCCATCACTTTAAATAATTTAAAATTATTAAACCAGAAAAATGTCAAGAAAATTGATAACATTCAAGGTGTTTCCTATGTTTGCTTACCTAATACCTAAATGTAAAAATCACTATATATCTTTAAGACTATTTGTTAATATTTCAAATACTAATTATTTCCATAAATTCCAATAATGGAGAAGGGTTTTATAAATACTTTATATGTGAAATGGTTATAGTAGCAATGGAATATGCTACTATATGGGAAATATTTAAAAAAGAAAAGAACTACCACTGGTATTGAAAATGGTTTTCACATAAATCATATTTAGTTCTTTTTTAATTCTTTAAAAAATACTGTATTAATTACCTAATCACTTCTATAATAACAAGGATTTAAACATTTAATAAGCTTTGATAGTTTGTATGTGTTTATAATATTCTTGCTTTTCATTTTCTTGACAACAAACAATAAAATAATTGAGATAAGCGTGAACAAAATACATGAGTAAATAGAGAATCAGTTTCTCTCTGACAACTTCATGATTTTACCTATGTTCCTTATAAAATTTTTGCTGTCCAGCCTTTTCAACTTTAATCTACACTTGTATGTATGTTGTAATACCATATCTCCATGGAAAATTCAAAGGTGGTTGTTGCCAGGTAAAATTAAATAAAAAATAATAAATCAGCTTCCATTTGCACACTATCAAAATGAAGTGAAACTTTAAACTTACTATTCATTTGTTATTTATAAAAGACTATAAGAAATGATTTTCAATTGCTTTTTTAAATTTAGAAATTAAATATATAGATATGCTATCAATTATTTTTTAAAATCATCTGTGGAACTAATGAATATTTATGTCAGATATCTTCAAGTGCTACAGTTTATAATAGTATATCATTATTATTTTAATGCTTTCTTTAGACTGTAGAAGGTTGGGAGTCAAAATTTCAGTCATCCAATTAGAATATAATCGTTGTTCCCTAACTATAATGCTATGACTCTAGTTCTCATGGTTCAATTTTATCCCCTATAGTTGACTATCTATTACCTAGCAAACAGTAGGCAATCAATATAATAGTAACCAATTGATGAACAATTGATAAATCAGTTACCCTACTTACCTTCCATGATATTTAGTTTATTTTTGCTATTTTGAAATCACTATGTTTTATTGACATTAGCAGCAATGGGAGTATGGGAAGAAACTATTCCTTTATTTTTTTTAAACTTACCACAATTTTATTTATGGAAATCATAAACAGGGCAAACTCAGAAGCTTCTGATAGGTGCAAAGGACACAGATATGATACTAAGCCACTCAATTCTTTGCCCTAAACTAAAACTATAATGGACAGAGTACAGTAATTCTCAAAGCAATATTTTTCAAATATCAGAATACATTTTTATGAGCAGGGATAGCATATGCTTTAGTTTTTGTTAAGATGGCAAATACATAAAATGATCAGAGCAAAGATATAAATAAGCTTAAATAAAACCCTTTAAGATCCCGATGCTGTAACTGGCTCCTGTGGCCCACAGATCCATGGTCCATCAAGCAGGTCTTTCTAGCCTACTCTCATTGCTTAATTTCTGCTAAAGCCTGCAGCATAACTAGCTACTATTAGATAAATGTTTTTACCTAGAAGAGCACTGCAAGGTTGGAGCCTACAGAGGGAACTTGACATGAAAATATCTAGGTTAATAAACTACTGGGTGGAGAGATAGCACAGCGGTAGGGCACTTGGTTTGCACGCAGCTAGCCCAGCCGAGCCGAGCCGGGCTCGATTCCTTCACCCCTCTGGGAGAGCCCACAATCTACCGAGAGCATCTCACCCACATAGCAAAGCCTGGCAAGCTACCCGGAACGTATTCAATATACCAAACACAGTAACAAGAAGTCGCATGATGGAGACGTTATTCGGACAGCTTGAGCAAATCAATGAACAATGGGAGGACAGTGCTACCCAATAAACTACTGAAGAAGTCTTAATTAGAAAACAGTTGTATCGGGACTTAAATAAAAATCATTCTAAAGGATTCATGGTCTTTAGAAATGAATGTCCTTTCAGTGCCGTGGCACATGGAAGGCCCATTCCCATGATACAATGTCAGCAAGGAGCAGAAAGATAGCTAGTGACTGAAAAGGAGAACACTAAAATATTTACAAGAAGTTCAAAATAAAAGAATATTTACATAATATTACAAGATGATTAATTTTTAGCCACAAGTCCTCTTCGAGCTGCCAAAACCTTTGCTTTCTTCTCCTTTTGCTCTTTTTCTTTTTTTTTTTTAATTTTTATTAGTGAAACACCATGAGGTACAGTTGTAGACTTACGAATTGTTGTGCTTGAGTTTCAATTATACAATGATCAAATACCCATCCCTCCACCAGTGCCCATTTTCCACCACCACAGGTCCCAGTATTCCTCCCATCCCCCACCCCCCCATCTCACCCTGCCTCTGTGGCATTTTGTTCTCTCTCCTTTTGGGTGTTGTGGTTTGCAAAAGAGGCATTGAGTGGCAATCATGTTTCTTGCGCTGCTCCTCCCTGGTCTTGAAGCAAGGTTGTTTGTACGTGTTCTTGTGGAGGCTGACTCTGCTTATGTGTTCATTCACACAGTTTTCTTTAGATTGTCCCCATGGTTTCAGCTTTCCTTTGTGTGATTCATAGCTGAGTGGAGGAGACAAACTTGCTTTGAAATCAAGCACTTTTTTTTTCTGGGAGACTGAAGTATTTGAGGCCTCAGCAGCGTGCTTCAACTGAGGTAGAAACAACAGCAGAATCCCCTCGTGGGGTCATTAACTTGTTTGTCCCAAGAGCAGGCTGGCCTTTTGAGGTACTCCAAGGCATGGTCACAAGGGGAGACTTTCTGGCTGGAGTCTTGGTGAGTGAATACTTATGCTCTTTATCTTTAGTAGTGGCTGAAACCTGACGTTCATTTTTGTGGCTGAGCTCTTTCCTGACCTCTTCACACATGAGGTGTTTCGAGACTTGGGGGTGTGAACCCAGCCCTGAGAACACCACTGGCTGACAGGCATGCAGGCTTCAGAGACACATCCTCTCTGGGCCACTGGAGTGGCCACTACGGCCTTGCTGACCGGCTGCTTCTTCAGTTCACTCAGTGAACTGTGTTCTTCAAAATGCTTCTTTTTCCTTTCCATATATTGATCAATGAACTCCATTTCCTTAAAATGAGCCCCATGAAGTTTCTTAAAGTTTGGAGTAATTGTGCTTGCAATTCTTTTCTTTACTCCAGATTTATAAAACCCATAGGTGTCGAGAGGCTTCTTTTTTCCTGAGGGTACCTTTGAACCTTCCTGACCTGCTATTTCTCCTTTCCCTGAGGCCAAGGCATTCTCCTCCCTGCAAGTCTGGTATGGGTGTGGAGTCTTCACAGCAGTGCTGAGCCCCAGGTCTCCAGGCTCTTCTGGATTCAGACATGCGGCGGAGTCACTTGTTTTCATCCCTGAAAGGTCCTGCTGTGGGTCAAGGGGGATTGTGCAGAGTCCTCCTTCTTCTCTTGGTTTTGGTGATGTGGCCCGCCAGCTCCCTCTCTGATCTGTACCTTCATCTCTTCGCAAGAGACTGCAGGAGCTTGACTTTCATCCTGATTCTTTTTTCCTTTCTTATTTCTTGTTCCAGGTGGGCTCTCAAGGATTTTAACAACTTGTCTGCCCTCTGGTTATCCCGGAGGCCCAGACTCTTAGCCCGGTTCTGCAGGTCACTGTACTTGAAGGACTCCAGTTCCTCCAGCTAGGGAACAGTCGTCATGTTCTGGGATGCAGTCGACCTCCGAAAGAACAGACGCACCAGCCGCAGAAGTGCGCTGTGGTTCAAAACTCCACCACCACTATATGCGATTACCCGGCCAGAGAAACTATTCCTTTTAAACCTCCAAGTCTGAGCTGCTCTTCTTGAGGAGATAAAAATGAAATATGAAATTCTGTGATATTGCTCTGCCTTTCCCTTCTTCCTCATCAATTCTTCCATCTCTTTCTCTCTCCTTTCATTTTTTCTCACCATATCTGAGAGCAGCCACCTTCAGAAAACTCTAGAACTCTAGCAAAGAACACTTTATTTTTCAGTAAATGTATTTATTCATTATGTTGTCTGAAATTCTTAATATCTGTGCAGACGGTTATCTTTACTAACAGTTCCAAAAGGTGACCAAAGTCTTATTTTTTGTGTGTGTAAGTGTCCTTGATTCTTGCTGACAAATACAAATTAAATAGCAGTTACTTTATGAAAGCTAGTTATATCATTTAATATCTTAGACATATTCATGTGTACTTATTTATGTAATTATTTACCAGAAGAGAAAAACAGAATGCATATGTCTTATTAGGTTGTTTTATCTTCAAAATTTGGGGTGGAGTTATATTTTTGTTACTGCTTAAGATTATTGCTTGCTTTCTTGACTAATAGCTACATCAAATGTATAGTTTTCTGGTCATACTTTTCAAAAGATTGATGACACAATCTCAGGAAAGATTTCCTAAGCATCAATATACCATAAAATTGGCTACTTCCCAATTTACACAATGAAGTAGATTAAAGCATCTTGAGTATAACAATGAAAATATTATACCATTGGAATGCAAATGTAGAAACAGCCTAAGGCTATTTGATTCTCACCAACATAATTATATTTAAGCAAAGTAAAGAATTTCTTTTCTTCTTCCC